TTTTGTCAAGGAAACAGCAGTGATGTGAAACTGGCTGGTCCCTTCTTGTCAGGGATGCAAGCCCTTTGGTCAAGGGACTTGCCACCAGCCATAAAAATTCTGCAAAACTACTGGCAATTCCCTTTTGTCAAGGGGAGGTGCCTACAAACCCTTTTGTCAAGGGAATGTGTGGCCCCCTACTTGCCATCCAAAAAGTGCCACACAGCCACATCAAAACTGGGGTAGGTGTTCATACCCCAGCCATGGGCATTCCACCAGGGCACAATTGCCCAGCACTCAATACCCCACTGGCCACACTCTTGGATCACATCCCACCTGTCATCAAACAGGATCTTGATGCCTGCCCTGTGCAGAGCTTGGGCCTTCCCCTCCCTGCCACATGGTTTGTGCCACACCAGTTGCTGTACACCCCATCACTCAGGAAATCTGTTTCCTTTTGCCTGTCTGGCCCAGAGTATGAACATAGGAAAATGTCATACCCTGCATCCTCCAGCTTCTGCAAGGCCCTCCTGTTGGCACCAGACACATTATTTCTGATTTCCAAGGTGTGGTGCCAATCCACTGCAATTCTTGGCCTCTTGGGCTGCCAGCTGTACCTTTTGTCAAGGTACTCTGGTGCTTCTTTGAGTGTGAGGCCTTCCTCCTCTTTCACCTTTTTGGCAGGTGGCTCATGGTCTGATGATGAAACATCAGATGCATCCCAGTCAGGTGATGAACTTGCTGGTGAGCTTGATGAGCTGCTGGTCTGGGGCTTGCTCTCCTTTTTGCTTTTCTTTTGCTTTTTCTTTTGGGCTGGGGCCAAAAACCAATGGTTTTGGAACCTCCCTTTTGTCAAGGTTGGTTCTTTCTTCCCATTTTTCAACCTCTGTTTGCACTTTGCTTTTGTTTGGTTTGGGTGCCTCCTGCTTGATCTCTTGTTTGGGATCTACTTTTTCCATTGCTTGCTTTGCAGCCCCATCTGATTTTGGATCTCTTTTGTCAAGAGATACTTTCTCAGTTTTGGCTTGGGCACCCTTGGTGTCAGGACTAGCCCCCCTTTTGTCAAGGTTGGCTGAAGAGCTTGCCCTTTTGCCATCCTTTGCTGTTTTGCTGTTTTTTCAACTTTTTGCAGTCTTGCTCCAGTTTTTCTTTCTCCTTTCTTTTTTCTTCTGCTTCCTTGGGCCACAAATAGTCATGCAACTCCTGTTTTGTCAACAGGTGTGGCTTTCCATATGTTTTGTCAACAGCTGCTTTTGCCCAATCTATGTTGACATCTTCAAGTCTCATGTTTTTATTTTCTCTTTCCATTCCTTTTTTCCTGATTTTTTCTTTCCTGGCCTCTGTGGTGGTGCCAGTGCCCTGTTTTTTCCCCTTGTTGTTGAGCATGGCCCCTTTTGTCAAGGGAGCTTCCACAAGCTTTCTTTTGTCAAGAAAGCTAAAGAGGGGAAGCCCTTTTGTCAAGGGCCTTTACTCCTAGTAGTCAAGCTTGAGTTTTCAAACAGCTGCAGTGGTAGAAAGGCCTGCCAGGTGTGAACCCCCCTTTAGTCAAGGCACCCAAAAGAACATGCACTGCATATTTTTCAGTGTGTTTCTCTAAAATTCCATGAAAAAACACCCTGAGAAAGTTTCCATACATTTGAAATCAAGTTGGTGGGGCCAAACCATGAGAAAACCATCATGACACTTTGGTTGGGTTATCCACTTTTGTATCTGTTTTCATGTGGTGTATATCTTCATTTGTTGTCAGAAAATGTGTACTTGATTGGTATATACATAATATATATATATATATTTGTGTATATAATCAGATTTCAAAATTTCAGTATATACTTAAAAAATAAATGTATATGCATATGAATGTATTTATATATATATATATAGAGCGTTTTTTTTTTTGTAATATATCTATATATATATATATACATATTTTTGTTTTTTTAACATATATTTAAATATATAATTCAATTATTTATATTTAGTTCATTTATTTCATTTATTTGTTGATATATTTTCACCCCTTAATAATTTGTTCTTGTTGGCAACCTTTGGGCAAGGAGCCTGGGGTGAAACATACATAGCCCAACCATGTCAAACCTTTTGTCAAGGAATGACAGGTATCTGTGCAAGGGCCAGCCATGCATCAATGGGGCAGATATCTATAGCACCACCATTGCCTTTGCTGACTGAAACCCTTTTGTCAAGGGTAGGGGGCCCTTTTGGCAAGGAACCCCCAGGGCCAAAAGCCTTAGCTCAGCAACTCTTCTCTCAAAGCTCTGGCTTGCTCTTTGGTTAGATGCTCAGCTTGCAGCCTTCTGTGGATAACCCCAATCACCTCTCTGTATTGTGGGGTCATTTTCTTTGTCACTTCGACTATGTGGTGAATAGGTTCAGGTGGCCCATGGCTTCCTTGGATGTAGGCCCTTTCTGGGTTCCTGGGATAGGTTACCTTCAAGGTTTTCCATGGCTGTTTTTTTGTGCTTACTGCAGCTGCAGGCCTTTTCATTTTGGAACCCTTCTTCTCTTTTTTGCATGTTTGTTTTTTACCCAAGGCCAAAGCTTTTGTCAAGCTTTGGTCTTGGTCCTTTGAGTTCCAGCTTGGTCTCTTTAGCACCAAAGAACCCTTTCTCCTTTTCAAAAAAGATCCCTCATCAGGTAATGCATTGGAACTGCTTGCTGCTGCTCCTTTTGTCAAGGGGCTGTCCTCCAATGGCAAGGCATTGGATTGCTGTGGGCTTTGCAAGCACTTGGGGAAGCCACTGGAATCCATGGAGATGGCAGAATCTTCTTTCTTAAGCTGCCTCCTTTTGGCAAGGGGGCCAGCTTCTTCTTCCTCTTGCTGCCCCCTTTTGTCAAGGGAAGCAGCTTCTCTTTCCTCATCACTGCTTTGCTCTGTGTCCTTGCCTGCCAAGTTTTGTGCAAGCTCTTTCAGCAGCTGGTATTCTTTTCCACTCACTTTTGCTGCTACTTTTGCAAGCTCTTCCTCAGATTTCAACCTTCTAAGATGAAGGAGGACAGTTGTAACCCTTTCTGCTCTCATGTTGCAGTATACCAGTCCATTGAAGTCTGTTGTGTTTATCTTCGGTTTGTGCTGGACCAGCTTCAGCAATGCTTGCCTCAGAGGACCTGGGTGGATCTCACCTGTGGGGGAAAGATCCAACAAAGCTTCCAACAGAGGCAGGCAATGCACTAGGCCCTTGGCATCTGTGGCTTGCTGCCTGCTGACAGTCTCATACCTTCCCAGTGAAGACACCAAAGAGACATGTTTGTTCAATGTTTGGAAAAGGACAAAGGGGACCACCATTGGCTTGGAGAAGTGCCTTGCCCCACCCCTGCTGGCCATTGCTTCAAAACTAGAATCCTTTGGTCAAGGGTTCCTCCAAAACTAAGCTAGCTTTTGTCAAGCCAGCTACAAAATCTTGATGGATCCTACTTGAGACAGATGGTTACATATGGCTCTCATGCAGTTTGGCCAGAAGCTTGGCCCATGGCACACACTCAAGATGAAAATCAACAGCAAAATCAATAGGAAAATCAACAACTTAATCAATACTGCAGAGGCATCAAAACATGTACATCTGAAGCCAAATCAATATTTTTGGATGAAAACAAATCAATAAAAAAACTTGGTAGTTCTATTGATTTTTTCAATAACAATTGGAAAATCAATATCAATAGAAAACTATCTGTTCCTATTGATTACAATCCGATGCTCAGGGAATTGTACCGAGAAATCATCAAACCGTACCAAGAAATCATCAAACCCTACCGAGAAATCATCAAACCGTACCGAGAAATCATCATATTGTACCGAGAAACCATCAAATTATACCGAGATATCATCATGTTTCTACAGAGAAACCATAACAATTGTATACTGAGAGAAATTCAAAGTGTACCAAGAAAGCATCATATTGTACCAAGAAGTCATCAAATTATACCCAGAAATCACCATAAAAATGGAAAACATGTAAAGGGTAGAAAGCAAACACTAGGAAAAAAGAGAAAAAGGAAAAACATATATAAAGGATAGAAAACAAACACCAGGAATTGGACCCCCCAAATATATATATATATGTAAAGGGTAGAAAACAAGCACTAGAAAAAAAACAGGAACAACAAATATAAAGGGTAGAAAACAAACACTAGAAACAATATATATAGAAAAGGTAGAAAACAAACACTAGAAACAAATCCAAATACATAAGGGTAGAAAATAAACATTAGAAAAAAAACATATAAAGGGTAGAAAACAAACACTTTAAACAAGGGAAGAATATATAACGGGTAGAAAACAAATATTAGGAAAAAAAGGGGAAACATATATAGAGGGCAGAAAACAAAAACTAAGAAAAACTAGAAAAAAAACATATATAAAGGATAGAAAACAAACACTAGGAATTGGACCAAGAAAACATATATATCAAGGGTAGAAAACAAACACTAGAAAAGAAATCAGGAACAACATATATAAAGGGTAGAAAACAAACACTAAAAAAACAAAATATATGAAGGGTAGAAAAAAACACTAGAAAAAATATATGTAGAAAGGGTAGAAAACAAACACAAAAAAAGGTAAAAAATATAAAGGGTAGAAAACAAACACTAGAAAAAAAAAACATATAAAGGGTAGAAAACAAACACTAAAAAACAGGGGAAACATATAAAGGGTAGAAAACAAATACTAGGAAAAAAGGGGAAAACATATATAAAGGGTAGAGCACAAAAACTGGGAACATATATAACATGTAGTTTTTTGCAAACACTACAAAAAATAGACGAAAAAATGATTTCTTAAATACATCCATTACGTGACAGTACGTGGGTAACACTCTTACGCAGCTAAGTTTTTTTTCGTGGCTAATAAAAAAAATACGTGGCTAAAAGATCCTGGAATAATTACGCGGCTAAGAAAACCAGCCTATACACACACTTATACACACCTATACACCTATATGCCTATATACATATATATACATATATGCATATATGTATTTGTATATGTGTAAATGTTGATCCGGCAGGCCCTTGGAAGCGGATGATGCTCAGCACTACTTACAGGGTATTTTCCGTCATTTGCTGAAGGACAGCGCAGTGGTCATGGTCCCAGAGGCGAGCTTGGGTCCTTTGTCACTACAGGATGAAGCTACTGAGCACCTGACGTATCGTTTGATGAAAACACCCTGCAACCGCATCGAGTGGGACGTCGATTTGATGGACAGCCAACATCTCTGTGTCACGGAGATCGAAGAATTGGCCCTGGGTTCCGATATCATTTGGTCCATGAGACGCCAAGGTGCGGAGATGCATTTTTCACGCGAAACCCCCTCACCCCCTCCCCGTGCATTTCGGAACCGTTTTAGATCCAGATGTTCATAGGCTTAAATCCCCCCAGGTCTTCAAGGGATATTTGTTCGGGCGCACAGATCATTCAAAGACAAGGCGCTTTGCATAATATCGACAGAAAATTATGTTTTTTTTCTCCATTTTGGTTGATATAGAAATCAGTCCTGTACTGAACATATAAAGATCCCATGACATTTCTAGACTCGTGTGAACCTTAGCTTTCGTGCACCCTGGGCCTCTTGAAACGGCCAGGTCACGAGCTTGATGAGCAAAAGGCAAGCAAACTGTTGAACACAGTGCGGCTGCTTCTCCCAGTGGCATCCAAAGTATCTCATGATCCTGAAGATGAGTACCTTACAGAGCTTTTTCAGGACTGAATCTGACTATTCCGATTTCACAGATCTTGTTTCGGACGTTTCGGATTGCGAATTTACGTAAATCAGATGAATAATATCCTTTTACATCATTTTACATGATCAAGGTCCCTAGGTCCCCCCAGGGCCCAGGTCCGGTCTTGTAATGCCTCAGGAGGACGCCTGCTACTTCGAAGAGCATGGCTGCTACCCTCCAGACTTCTGAGGTAGATGAATATGTGGGATATATGCCCCATTTTCGCAGTATATCGCAGTATTGCTCGGGAGGTTCCAAGATTTCAAGTGGAGCCAACCTTCACAGAATTTGAAGAGCAATGACAATGAATTTGTGCAAATTTGAGTGTTGCTGCCGTTGCTCGTGGCATGTACAGGCCTGTGTGACCAGTCTTTACAAAGCTTGCAATCACCACAGTGGCAACTCTGCTTTGTGCATTGATTCAGCACAATACTCTTGGATTTTGGAAATGGGGTCCACTACAATCATTACAGTCAATTTAAAGAAACTATAGAAACTTGGGTTTGGTGCCATGAACCACCCATCCAGAGGGCGGTGCTGAATTTCTTCAATGCCTCCTGGTGCCAATGTACAGATGATCACTGACAGGTGATTCGTGCAGGGGTCATTGGAACAGCTTCTCCCAGGGGTAGCTGCAGTCGTGCACTCGTCACGGCTTGCAGACTTGCTTCGCAGAGACCATTGACCGTGCGACCACGGAGGACCGGAGGACCGTGGGGATGGCCGGCCACATTTGAAGCGCCGATTTCGATGCAGACACTTCTGGGATATCGGAAGCAAAGATCTTCAATCAGTGGCAAGCAGCCATCAAAAAAAGTGCATTTTCTTCTGCAACTTGCGACAGTTTTTTGCGGTGTTTTCACACTCCACACTTTGCACTTCACACTCTACACTTTACACTTCCCACTCAATACACTACACCCCACTTTACATTCAACACTCCACACTCCACACTCTTACACTCTTACACTCTGCACTCCACTGTTTACACTCTACACTTCACACTAGGCAGTCTACACTCCTCACTCCTCACTCCACACCTCCCACTCTGCACTCCACGCTCCACACCCCACGCTGCACACTTTCCACTGCGCACTCCACATTCCCCACATTCCCCACAATCCCCACATTCCCCACATTCCCCACATTCCCCACATTCCCCACATTGCCCACATTCCCCACATCCACACTTCCCACTTCCCACTCTACACACGACACTCCACACTTCACACTCCACAGTCTACACTCCGCACTCCACATTCTCCACACTCTACACTCCACACACTACATTCTGCACTTCCCACTCCCCCCCCATTTTACACTCCACATTCTACAATTCACGCTTCACTCCACACTCCTCCACTCTCCACACTCTACACTCAACAGTCCGAACTCAACCCTTCACATGCACACCTACACTCCACGCTCCACGCTGTACACTTCACACTCTACACTCTGCACTCCACACTGCTCACTCCACACTGCCCACTCTACACTCCACAGTCTACACTCTGCACTCCACCTTCTACACTTCCCACTCCCCCACTTCACGCTCCACACTCTACACTCGACAATTCACACTTCACTCCGCACTCCACTACACTCCACTCTACAGTCCACACTCCACATGCACACTCTACACTACACGCTCTACACTTCAGACTCTAGACCCTAGACTCTACACACTACACTCCACACACCGCACTCCACACTTCACACTCCACACTGGACACTCCACACTCCACAGTCCACACTTCACGCCCTGCACTTTACACTTCCCACTCAACACTACACCCCACTTTACATTCAACACTCCACTCTCTTACACATCACACTCTTACACTTCACGCTCTCCACTCCATACTCCACACTTCACACTCTACCCTCCACACCCTACAGTTTACACTTGACACTCCACACTCTACACTTTGCACTCCACACTGCACACTTCACACGGTACACTCCCCGCTCAACACTCTGCACTCCACTGTGTACACTCTACACTTGACACTCCACACCCTGCACCCTCTCCCACTCCACACTTCACGGTCTAGAATGGAAGTCACCAGACTCCAGACTGTTGTAATATTTATTTCGCAAAAGTGTTTTTTGCGTAATTGTCATTCGGGTTTATGGGGAGTGGATCAGGTTTTGAATAATCATCCAGTCCTCACCCTAGCGAAAAGCAAATACATGAAAGGTTACAGGTGGATGAGTTTGCTGTGACGAATGCTTCGCAAACTAGTCTGCCGCAAGCAAGGGTCGATGAAGTTCTTTCACCGAGTGCTGGGCTCAATTTGTCTTGTCCCTGTGGTAGGTTGCGGTGTAGCCTCGAAAGCTATGACGCGCCTTTGGCATCTCTTAACGCTGGCTATCATGTTGGTGGCGCTTCTCTGCCCTTTTATGAGGGTTGTGAAGTTGGGACAATGGCAGCGCTTGACCTTCCTTCTTGTGATACCGCAGGAGTGGGGCCGGATCAGGCCTGTGTGCTGAGCAGTCCTGTCACTCATGTTCAGCCCTGAAGCCAAAAGGTGATTTCGTTTCAGGAAGCGACATCTTTGGTTGAGGCAGCGATACAGGCTGACGGAGGAGGTTGGGGCGTGCATGTGTCTGCGGGCATTAAGGGGATGATGAAAAAGGCCGTTTCTTCGAGTGCGACTTCCTTCGTGCTGGGAGACACCCGCCAGGTGCAGAAGCGGACCATTCGGAACAAGAACGCGAGGAATCTTAGTCCTGCAGCTAGGCAGCTACTGCAGGAAGATCCAGAGGAGTTTGTAAGGCAACATGGGCGCCGATATGCTTCTTCTATCACACTGGGAGGCACTTTCGGCGGCGCTGTTAGCATCCACCAAAATTCTGCAGATGTGGAGAGCAGTCTTGAGGCCTTTGCCAAGGTTAGCTTTGAAGATGTATTTGGACTTTCAGGCTCATTTGAAGGCTCATTCAAGACGGCTCGGCAGGAGAGCAGCAGTATGACGAGGGTGGTTTCCAGCTTCGCTGCTGCGGGCGGTCACGACATTGTCGTGCACCTGGTGGCCGGGCCAGCCCAACAGACTCTTTCGGAAACTCCGAAGCCATTGTTCCTCACATCTCGCTCATGGGCAGATCTCGACGAAGTGCAAGACATCCTTCAGCATAGTTCTAAGGAAACCCAAGAATTGTTTCAAGCTCCCCGACTTATCCATGCTACTGAGAAGGCGATGAGCAAAGAGTATGCTGAATTGATGATGCTAATGCTAATGAATGATGTGTCCGAAGCACAAAAGTGGAAGGAGGTAAAACACAATGACGGATGGAAGGAAACGGTGAACAAAATGAATAAACAAATCAGGAAGCATCAGGCAAAAATTGAACAGGCAACTGAGGATGACTTTATTCAGTTGCAGAAGCATTCAGAAGCAGATCGCGGAGGGAAGCGATTCACCGGATTGGTTCAAAGCAGAGGACTTGAGAGCTGAGTGGATCAAATTTCCGGATGATCTATTGAAGTTTCAGATCAGCCGTAGCCTCCCAGTCTTCCGATACATCCTGAGAGAGGGGTGGGATTTCGAGTATACAGCACACAGTCACCCATATACAACGGACATGACTAAGGATGCAATCACCAATTCTACTGTCCTCCTGAAGATGCAAGCGGTGCAGAGCCTGTCTTTTCGTATCACAACCGGGAGAGGACAGACATGGATGTTACTTTTTCCTCTATAAAATGGCAGGGGTCAACCCCCTCCATAAAACGTTTTATGTTATGGTTTTGGTGGGGTATAGCCCTGCCATTTTATAGACAATTTATTTGCTTTCATCTTACGCAAACCTTTTGGGGGGCCAAGCCCTGTCATTTTATAGAAAACATGTGTGTGGAAGAAATATGTTGATGTTTTTTCCCAGACCTGATCGTTTCTGCAGTAAGATAACTTTCAAACCATGTGTATGTTTGATCATGTTTGTTTAAGTGTTCTCTTTGTAAGCTTACGTGCTTTGACACATCCAGGTGTACGTCACGGATCACTTCTTGATAGCCTTTTAAACATGCAGCTAGCATCACGGAATCCCTTCTCAGGACAGTTTGTTGCTGACTATTTTTTTTGGCAATGTTTACTGGCCCGCCCCCTTCATCATGCTCTTTGACTTTCGCCCACTCCTTCGCATAACTTTCGCCAAAACATCCCTATTCACAGACCCCGGCCATCAGCAGAGGGCACATTGAAGGAAAAGCGAATACCAGGGGCCTTGGTGTTTGGCTCTCGCAAAGCCTCACTTTTGGAAACTAAGCTGCTGCATGCGTTGAAGCAATCCATGTGGCTTGTCTGCTTGCACCCGTCATATGGAACCAACTGGGAACTCACATAGGCTCATGCAACAGAAGCCAGAGGCACTTCAGAAGCAAAGCAAGCCCGAGGAAAAACTTAGAGCAGCATAATGCCAGTAGGGAACACTTGCAGTGGCCACAGCAGTGGCCCTGTTTTATGGTGTATGCAGGGGGTCAGGCCCTGTCATTTTATAGACCCTGGCTTTTGCAAACCCGCATGGATCACCGCCAAAACCCGCATTTGTCACCCCTTGTGCCATTTTATGGTGTATGCAGGGGGTCAACACCTGTCATTTTATAGACCCTGGCTTTTGCTAACCCGCATTTGCCACCCCCAAAACCCGCATGTGTCACCCCCTTTGCTATTTTATAGGTCATGCAGGGAGTCAGACCCTAGCTTTTGCCAGAGCAGGCATGCATTGAAGCAATCCATGTGGCTTGTCTGGTTGCACAGTTCATTTATGTTCATATGAAACCAGCAGGGGTTTCACATGTGCTCATGCAAAAAGAAGCCAGAGGCACCTCAGAAGCAAAGCAAGCCCGAGGAAAAACTTAGAGCAGCATAATGCCAGCAGGGAACACCTGCAGTGGCTACAGCAGTGGCCCTGGTTTATGGTGTATGCAGGGGGTCAGGCCCTGTCATTTTATAGACCCTTTGCCAACCCACATGTGTCACCCCCCAAAACCTGCATTTGTCACCCCTTGTGCCATTTTATGGTATATGCAGGGGGTCAACACCTGTCATTTTATAGACCCTGGCTTTTGCCAACCCGCATGTGTCGCCCCCATAACCCGCATTTGTCACCCTTTGTGCCATTTTATGGTGTATGCAGGGGGTCAACACCTGTCATTTTATAGACGCATTTGCCACCCCCAAAACCCGCATGTGTCACCCCCTGTGCTATTTTATAGGTCATGCAGGGAGTCAGACCCTAGCTTTTGCCAGAGCAGGCATGCATTGAAGCAATCCATGTGGCTTGTCTGGTTGCACAATTCATTGATGTTCATATGAAACCAGCAGGGGTCTCACATGGGCTCATGCAGACAGAAGCCAGAGGCACCTAAGAAGCAAAGCAAGCCCGAGGAAAAACTTAGAGCAGCATAATGCCAGCAGGGAACACCTGCAGTGGCCACAGCAGTGGCCCTGTTTTATGGTGTATGCAGGGGGTCAGGCCCTGTCATTTTATAGACCCTGGCTTTTGCCAACCCACATGTGTCACCCCCCAAAACCCGCATTTGTCACCCCTTGTGCCATTTTATGGTGTATGCAGGGGGTCAACACCTGTCATTTTATAGGCCCTGGCTTTTGCCAACCCGCATGTGTCGCCCCCATAACCCGCATTTGTCACCCTTTGTGCCATTTTATGGTGTATGCAGGGGGTCAACACCTGTCATTTTATAGACCCTGGCTTTTGCTAACCCGCATTTGCCACCCCCAAAACCCGCATGTGTCACCCCCTGTGCTATTTTATAGGTCATGCAGGGAGTCAGACCCTAGCTTTTGCCAGAGCAGGCATGCATTGAAGCAATCCATGTGGCTTGTCTGGTTGCACAGTTCATTTATGTTCATATGAAACCAGCAGGGGTTTCACATGGGCCCATGCAAAAAGAAGCCAGAGGCACCTCGGAAGCAAAGCAAGCCCAAGGAAAAACTTAGAGCAGCATAATGCCAGCAGGGAACACCTGCAGTGGCCACAGCAGTGGCCCTGTTTTATGGTGTATGCAGGGGGTCAGGCCCTGTCATTTTATAGACCCTGGCTTTTGCCAACCCGCATGTGTCACCCCCAAAACCCGCATTTGTCACCCCTTGTGCCATTTTATGGTGTATGCAGGGGGTCAACACCTGTCATTTTATAGACCCTGGCTTTTGCCAACCCGCATGTGTCGCCCCCATAACCCGCATTTGTCACCCTTTGTGCCATTTTATGGTGTATGCAGGGGGTCAACACCTGTCATTTTATAGACCCTGGCTTTTGCTAACCCGCATTTGCCACCCCCAAAACCCGCATGTGTCACCCCCTGTGCTATTTTATAGGTCATGCAGGGAGTCAGACCCTAGCTTTTGCCAGAGCAGGCATGCATTGAAGCAATCCATGTGGCTTGTCTGGTTGCACAGTTCATTTATGTTCATATGAAACCAGCAGGGGTTTCACATGGGCTCATGCAAAAAGAAGCCAGAGGCACCTCAGAAGCAAAGCAAGCCCGAGGAAAAACTTAGAGCAGCATAATGCCAGCAGGGAACACCTGCAGTGGCCACAGCAGTGGCCCTGTTTTATGGTGTATGCAGGGGGTCAGGCCCTGTCATTTTATAGACACTGGCTTTTGCCAACCCACATGTGTCACCCCCCAAAACCCGCATTTGTCACCCCTTGTGCCATTTTATGGTGTATGCAGGGGGTCAGGCCCTGTCATTTTATAGGCCCTGGCTTTTGCCAACCCGCATGTGTCGCCCCCATAACCCGCATTTGTCACCCTTTGTGCCATTTTATGGTGTATGCAGGGGGTCAACACCTGTCATTTTATAGACCCTGGCTTTTGCTAACCCGCATTTGCCACCCAAAACCCGCATGTGTCACCCCCTGTGCTATTTTATAGGTCATGCAGGGAGTCAGACCCTAGCTTTTGCCAGAGCAGGCATGCATTGAAGCAATCCATGTGGCTTGTCTGGTTGCACAGTTCATGTATGTTCATATGAAACCAGCAGGGGCTTCACATGGGCCCATGCAAAAAGAAGCCAGAGGCACCTCGGAAGCAAAGCAAGCCCAAGGAAAAACTTAGAGCAGCATAATGCCAGCAGGGAACACCTGCAGTGGCCACAGCAATGGCCCTGTTTTATGGTGTATGCAGGGGGTCAGGCCCTGTCATTTTATAGACCCTGGCTTTTGCTAACCCGCATGGATCACCCCCAAAACCCTCATTTGTCACCCCTTGTGCCATTTTATGGTGTATGCAGGGGGTCAACACCTGTCATTTTATAGACCCTGGCTTTTGCTAACCCGCATTTGCCACCCCCAAAACCCGCATGTGTCACCCCCTTTGCTATTTTATAGGTCATGCAGGGAGTCAGACCCTAGCTTTTGCCAGAGCAGGCATGCATTGAAGCAATCCATGTGGCTTGTCTGGTTGCACAGTTCATGTATGTTCATATGAAACCAGCAGGGGTTTCACATGGGCTCATGCAAAAAGAGAGGCACCTCAGAAGCAAAGCAAGCCCGAGGAAAAACTTAGAGCAGAATAATGCCAGTAGGGAACCAGGTCTTTGATCTCACACAGGAACTGAGGCGATCACCACCTGTGCGATCCAAATTCTCGCAGTTGGTTCTTCGTTGCTGCTCATTGAAGCAGATCACATAGCGATGCAGACGAAATCAAACGAAGATTCATTGGGGTCAAAAAAATGTATGATGTTTGTGCCTACGGACCGAAAACTGAGGTCGCGAAACGCTTCTTTTTCGAGTCGGATGTTCTTGATGCTATGTTGATGATGGGGTGGGGTGGGGTGGGGCGGGGTGGGGTAACGTTCGTGTGAACTTGCTGAGGTTCTTGATGCTGACGCTGATGATGGGGTGGGGTGGGTGGGGTGGGGTGGGGCATGTTAACGTTCGTGTGAACTTGCTGAGGTTCTTGATGCTACGCTGATGATGGGGTGGGGTGGGGTGGGGTGGGGCATGTTAACGTTCGTGTGAACTTGCTGAGGTTCTTGATGCTACGCTGATGATGGGGTGGGGTAGGATGTCACAAGAAACCGAGAAAAGCTCAAAGCGCACACAGGCACAATAGATGCCGCATGGACGTCGTGCAAAAAATTCGTGCCAAAGAGTTTGCATGCCCGGAGTGCGGACTTGATTCTTTATTGCAAGATGTGGCAATGGAGATTCATCCACACGTACAAAAACTTGGCGAAAGCCACGGTGTCCAAACTGCAAGAGATGTAAAAATGACGGTGCGGACAGTTGAGCATGCCTGAACTTGTTTGAAGCAGAAATTGCGCTTCGCCTAGGCGAAATACACATTTATCTAAAAAAACACCAAATTCAGACGTCTGAATTTCAGAGTTTTTGTGATCGCTGAATTGTGTTTTCGCCCTGGCGAAACGATGATTTTTTGAAAAAAACGTATTTCACGACCTCACTTTCCGGTCCGCCGGGATGTTTGTGTGAGATATCTCTGTGGATCTTTGGAGGGCGAAAAAGGTTCAGACAGCAACGCTAGGACAATTCAAAACATCTCAATAATTAACAATAATTATATACAGATATATTTCGATATTTAATCGATATATGAAAATATAAGATGATCTATGATCTATTTTTGATAATATCAAGATCTAACAAGTATGTCATGGATCCCTCATGTTTATCGACATGTTCAACATG